TAAATGTCCAAATAAATAAATGATTTCGACAATTGCAAACGAGAATTTCTAAATTCGCCATTTCGTAAAACAGGGTTAGTTTATGTATGGGGCCACCGTCTCATTTTAATCGAAGTGAACCCTGATGCAATTTACGATAGGTTATAAGATGTAGCTCTCACTAATCCAGTGATTGTTCTAAGGACATCAAGATTTACGTTTTCAAGGTACAGGACCTTGGTTTTTGTAGTACACTCATTTCGGAGTACGTCCACGTAGTCGAATAAAAGGCGACATTAAAGCCCAGTATATTGATTCTAGATATTTTAAACTTCTGACACAAATCAGTCCTTTTATAACGGAATAATTAGTATGAACAGCCCCATTACAATTACTAATTCTTATGTTCTTTGCTATCAGTTAACCCAGCTCCAGCACAGCAAAGAGTGTTAAGAGTGCGGTTTAATTTTCTTGAGAAGGTAATAGTCCTTGTTTTGTGTGGATTAAAGTTGATTTTTCAACTTTTTGATTTTTTTTTTTTTGGCGGGGGGGGGGGGTAATTGCAGTATGTAAAGATGCGTTCAAGAGATTTCAATATTCGAAGAACAAAAACTACCCAGTGAAGATTCTTTTATTTTTATTTTGAATGAAAAGCCGTTATACTCTTCAAAAAAGTAGGGGTTATTGCAATGAAAATACCTATGCAGTTGTGATATGATAAATAGTCATGGACATGCTCTAAGAGTATGTTCACAGATGAAGAACTTATCACCCCAACAGAACAACGGGGGGAGGGGTTCATTGTCAAATTTGACACTTCAAGGATGGGTTGATGAAAACTCTCGCCTGCTGGTTTATCCTATCCATGTTTGCTTTCCTATCGATTCTTGCATAAGATTTCCTGTTTATGGTATCTTTACTTTACTGTACTACGTTTAATTTGATCGGGAGACGTGTTCGTCGGCGTCAACCACAACCGACAACACTGCAAGAATTGGCCGTGGCACTGCAAGATGAGTGGGTCAGATTTCCCCAAATCGTGATTGGACGGTTCATTAGGAGCATGCCACGACGAATTGCTGAATGTCTGAGGATTGGTGGAGCAATTACTCGTTATTAAGACAAAAATCAAAAATGTAAGGTTTCTCTAATTGGCAACTGCGACGATTAGTGTTGGCTGCGCGAGTAACGTGAAAGGTAGCACGCTGTGATTGTCTATATCTCCCAGCGTTAGTGAGCGTTTGGCGCGTACCTTTATCAAGTTGATACAGATTCTAAGATAAAAACCCACGGAAAAAGACTTGGGAATGTAAAATTCGAGAATTTATTGGGCTTCGATATTTATGATAAATAATCAGTGATTAAAGATAACATCGTCTTGTATGTGCAATGAATTCTCGGTAATCTAGGGTTACCGCTTATTTTATTGCTCAAATTGAATATGCGGCAGTTTTCCGTTTCATCTCTCTATTTCTCCATTTATTTATTGATAATGGTTTAGTATATTTAGATTTAACTTGTGTTGAGTAAATGGTCTTTGCTTTTAATCTGATTCCGTCTTTTTATACATAAAAATTGAGATATATGTATATGTTAAATTTAACGTTAAATTTTGGTTGATATTGCCAGAAAACATTTATAATATACAGATAATACTATTATCTGTGTAAATTCATGGTTGATTGCATCCATTGAGAAGTGTATGTTCACTTTGCCGTTACAACCACTCACAAGGGGGCCAGTCACGCGTGCCATATCGTCTGCTACGCGGTCCTTTATCAAGGAGCCTCTATGTGGTTAAGTCGCCGGTTCGCTAGCCTGCAGGTCGCACGTTTAATCCCTGCATTGGCCGAATAACTTCGTCGCGATTGTCTGGCCTCGCCCTCGTCCGGCTATGACGAAAAACTGAGGCCCGTGTATATATTGGCGTACAAACCCTCCTTTCCGAAGCCTATCACATCCAGGGGGGTGGTTCCTCCCAAGTAAAATTATCTCAGGTGTGTGTGTGGGGGGGGGGGGGGGGGCTGGTAACTGAGTGGAAGGGGGAGGGGGGTATAAGTAACCAACCCCGGATAAACAATTGCAATCCAATCAATGGTCAATATCACATTAGCCCTTAACGCTAGACCACGCACGACCTGACCTCAACACGAACCCCGACGCGGCTGTCTATAAAGGGTCAACCCCACCCCACTCTCCCACAATAAACAATGCGTGACCTCCAGCTAACCTCGTAACAGAAGTCAAACGAGGTCAAAGGATAAACAAGAGTTCATTATAACAATACCTATTCATCTATATTCATATCCCCATTGTTCGGATAACAATACCATATTCAATCTATTGAATAGAACAAAGGCGTCAACTCTCCTTGGTAAAAATTTGGTACTACTGTCGCCAGTACACAAGACGGTACACAGGTCAAAATTAGGAAAAAACGATGGGCGCTATTATCGCTGTGTAACATTTCTTAATGTCCTATTTTCGGGTCGATGACAGCTTGCTAATAGCGCGTGTGTTTATTTCGTAATTTTCGAGTTGCATTATGGCTTGGTATGCGTGTTAGCGCCTTTTTACTGACATAATAAATACAAAAATACGACTAAGTCGAAAGTCGACAACACGGTACACAAGCCAAAATGCAAGTCGAAAATCAGAAATTCGGAAAAAACGATGGGCGCTATTATCGCGGTGTAATATTTCTTAATTTCCTATTGTATAGCGTGCTGTCGCCTCACATTTTGTCGTAAATTCTACTTTTCGACTTTCGTGTTTTGAAGGGGTGAAAAGATGTAACACACACGCATTAAGCCATTCGCCCCGCCCCCCCTCACCCCACGCAAGTTCTGACATTATGTATAGATTGATATGACTCATGGAAAGTTAGAAGTTATTTAATTCACGGGTTAGAATAGAAGAAAAACGCATTTGTGGTGGTTAAATGTTCCAAGGTTATCGGGGAGCGCGAGGCCCCAATACACTGCGACGATTTTTTGTTTCGGATTCAGTATATTTCACCTAAGGTAGGCTATATTAGACCACATTGAAGTTGCTGTATTCACGGGCTGTATTGCGGTAGATAAATTTTCAACCATTCATCGAGCTTCGTATTATGTACAAATTAATCTGATATTTCTAGAAATAGAAGATGTTAATACAACCGTCTTAATGCTATGTTCCCACTATCACGAATGGCTCCATGAAAACACGTTTGCGATAGTCAAATTTTCCAAATTTACTTGGGGGGAGGGTGGGGGTGGTGCAACACGGTAAGCTCCGCTCCTTCGCCTCTCCCAGACGACCGGCCCCGCAGTTTGTAACATTTCAGGTTCTGTCCCCTAACATTCATAAAGCCCGAACGCCTATGACTGATCACTTTTGGTTTGTCAGTTCATAATAATAATGAGTCTCGATCGGGTCTACAAAATATAGGATGTTTCAATCGTGCATAGTTTTGGCTGAACACTCTGACAATATCTCATTGAAAACCAAATAACGTGTTTCGACATGATGTCATAACTTGCGTGTGGGTGGGGGTGGGGCGAATGGCTCAATGCGTGTGTGTTGCATCATAAGGCCTGTCTTTGAGTGGTTCCGATTCCTCGCTTGTCAGAGCACGTGGGATTGCTCCTGGTCCCAAGCGAATTATTGAAATAAAATTTAACCATCTTTTAGTCCTGAAATGACATAGATCTTTTTCGACGTTCCATAGTAAACGTACTGTGCTAAGACCACCTAAAGATACATTTTACATTATTAATTAGAACAGGTTTCGCTTTAAAAAAAAATAATAAATAAAAAATTGGATAATCGAGACTATGTTTTTTTTTTATCGTACCGACTTTAGTAATGATGATCGAGGCTAGGTCGAAAATTCAATCGCTAAAATTTCGGTTTAGAGTGGATCAATTTGACTGAAATTTTCAGCAAATTCCCTTTACATTATCTAGCTTTTGACTATTAAGGTGCAAAGCAGTTATTATGAAGGTTGTTATATAAAAGGGTCTGTTAGTCCTGAAATGACCTAGTTCGTGTGTGTGTGTGTGTGTGTGTGTCTCTCTCTCTCCCTCTTCTATACTCCAGTATTTACCACGCAGTAAATAAATTGTGCATTGAGTTCAAGTATGCTATTATTATTGCACTGTGGTGCACTGGTAGGGTGACCCACCATAAATAAATATCTCCAAATATCTCGACAATTATGCCACAATATTTATATATATGCCAAGCCTCAAATCAGTTACACACAATTATAGTCACTAAATAAACGATCATGTTGTACTTAATTAGCTATGACCATTAATCATCTATAAATAATAGACTGAAAACTGGTTCCAAATGTCGTCCATAACATCCAGACACTTTTGAGTAAAATATAGGTTACGTGCCCTTGTTTTGAAATTAGTCTCGCTTAACCAGTCTATCGACCATTCTACGTCTGATTGACAGGTCGGGATAATCAAGACTACTTTTTTACGAAACATAACAGAAAGCTAGAACAAGAAATTGAATTTAGAAATAAGTACTTTAGACAACCCAACAATTGTTTTAAGAAACTTGTAAAAGTAAAGTGAAACTACAGCTAGTATCATGTTCCTGCTAAAGAACGTGATTCAGAGATAGTATTTGTACTAAACCAAAAGATGCCGCTCTTAACGGTACAGTTAATTATAAAGCAATTTAAAAAATAAAACAAACGTAATTTCTAAAGCTGCTGTAATAACCAAGAAGTTAAATTTTACTACTATTCAAAATCGTCAACAATAGATTTTTTACGGCTGTAATAGTTGATATATTTGTAGAGAATTGCACGTGCCATGGCTATTTATCGACTCAAAGAGAGTGCGGGGTAGTCAGAAATCAGTTCGAGACACGCAACTGAAGCGTGCACTTTTAGCCGTGTCGAGACCAACTTTCTGTATAGAGCACGGGTCACCCTAGGGCCACTGGGTTATTTAGGTTAAGGTTAAAAGAGGTCGCGTGATAACGGCGTCAGCTTCAAAAACAACCCACTACAATGGCGGATAGCAGGCTACTGAGAGATGAAGATTATAATACTCATTTTGATCATGATGCTTATGTTAAAACATATTATACCGTTTTAGACGATACAATCGAGGGTGGAGTAATTCCCTTTGTATTAAAATGTCTACATGATGTCTTTAAAACAGGTAAAGTGATTAATACGGTTTCTAAATTGTGTTATAAATGTTCCCCATCGTACATTATAAAGATCCTTATATATGATGTACTGACCTAGTTTGGGTCGAATTGACCATAAACGCCTCTGTTTGTCAAATACGGTTTGTAAATCGTGTTAACACTTTTAAGATACAAAGAACGGTGACTAGTCGTTCGAGTGAAAGAAAGAAAAACCCCAAAACGAGGTTACGTGTACACATCGGTGTGCACGTGGGCGTATGTTTCATTGTGTGCCAACATGCCTTTTGATTATCGTAGTCCTGCCAACCTCTCTTTTAATGATTATCGACGTTATACAGAAGTTTAAACTTGTATTTAAATCTTTAGGTACCGTGAAGGGTTCACGATTACTGGACATTGGAACTGGTCCTGTTCCACATTCTGTAATTCCTGCAGTTCCGTTTGTTCAAGATATATACCTAACAGATTTCTCAACGGTTAATAGAAAATATCTGTATGATGCTTTGTTTGGATCTGGTAAACAAGAATATTCCAGTATTTTTGAATTTTTGACAAATTTAAGCGAAAAAAGGTAGGAAATGAAATGAAATGGGGTTTAACGTCCTACTGTTCTGCTCCTAAACTGCTCTAATGAAGACGGGCATACGCAATATAGTATGCTATGAGGGAAATTTTGCCCGGGCAGCGGCGCTACGACCTACTCTTATATCGAAGTCCAACTGCCAAGGGATCTTTTACGTGCACGCCAATGTGTACACGGGACTTCGTTTTTTCGTCCTATCCGAACGACTAGACAGCTGTCCTTGTCAGGCCCTCCATCCTACATCACTGACAAAGGGAAACCACGCTGGAAAAGAACAGTAGGACAATAAACCCCATTTCATTTCTGATATTGAAGTAATTGCAGAATTCTGTCAGTTTGGATATTAATAAGGCAGTATGTGATTGAATTTTGTAATATTTAGTTAGAACTTCAATGCAGCCGAGTAGAAATATTTTACGGTAATGTCATACCCCTCGCAGTGTTTTGTTTGATTAGATGAGACCTTATCCTACTCAAACACTATCGGAAATCACTTAAACACTGTCGGAAATTTCTGTCATGAAGTGAAATGAAATGGGGTTTAGCGTCCTACTGTTCTGCTCCGACTGAGATAATGAAGACGGGCGTACGCCATACTGTGTGCTATGAGGGAAATTTTGCTCGGACAGCGGCACTACGGCCTACTCTTATATCGAATTCCAACTGTCAAGGGATCTTTAACATGCACGCCAATGTGTACACGGGGCTTTTCGTCCCATCCGAACGGCTAGACAGCTTTCCTTGTGGGTCACATGGATGCATCACTGACAAGGGGGAACCACGCCGGAAAATCTGCCAATGCAGGGATCAAACACCCGACCTCCAGCCGAGCGAGCCAGCGTCTTACCCGCTTAGCCACCGTGACCCCCCCCCCCCCATTCCTGTAACAAATCATGACTGGTTAACAGTCAGGTCAACAACCAACACATTGCAGCGTAGCAAATCAATCGAGATTAACCAGAGGTCTATTATGATAACATACAAGCACCTGATATGCAACTCTGTGTAATTGTACTCCCCAGTTTTCAAAAATGGTTTTGAACTGGGGTTTTTTTGTGAATGCGCTTAGAAACACTCATTTATAATGAAGCGCTATATAAATTGAATTATAATAATAATGACATTCGCGGCTATATTCATTATGCTCAATTAACCAGTGCATAGTAGAATATTGCAGAAATACGGAGCATTGTATAATCACACACCAGGGCCCTGTTCCTAGAAAATTCTTAAAGTAAGCACAAAGTCATGCTTCACTTTTGCTTACCGTCCCTAGAAAATTCTCAAGATCATTCTTACGAAAGCATAAGTCAAGTATAAGTCTAAGCACATTGTGACTGGTAAAGTTTACCATAAACTGAGACTACGATGTTCTTTAACGTCATAAAAACAACTTTGGTATGCGAATTTGTCGTCTGCTTCATTGACGTCATATATAATGGTTCATTTCGATGCATTTGACATGTCCCCTATAAACATATAAAATGTGCCACAAGATAAAAAAACGCAGACACATACAAACTATCTGAATAATTGTGAGAGCGCCTGATCTTAAAGTAGCCTGTGTGTTTGTAGCCTATTGTTTTCTAATTGGCAAATAAATAAAATGGTTTCAGGGTAGGCCTAGAAGCGAAATTTTCTATAGGCCTAGCATTCTTAATTTGAAATTTCTTCTGGAGAAATATTTCTCTGTCTTGTAATTGTCTCTTTGATATCAAAAGGTGTCTGAATTGCCGTCGAAAAATTCTACGGTCAGCCATCTTTTTGAAGCAGAAACAGACTTAAGGTTGGTAAGCAAGCCGTATACCTTGCTTGGGACTTGTGCTTAGATTGACTATGTTTAAGAACGAAGTTGTGCTTAAGTTTTTTCTTGGAACGCATAATAACGTTCTTGTGCTTATAATGAAGTCTACTTAAAATCTAAGCACAAGAACGTTCTTAAGAATTTTCTGGGAACACAAAATAAGGTAAGTTGACTTAAATGCAAAGTCTACTTAAATCTAAGCACAAGAACGTGCTTAAGAATTTTCTAGGAATCGGGCCCTGGAATCTATTTAAATTGGTATTAGGTAAGATTAGTTTAGATATCAATATTTAGTTGTTAATTACAATTCCACATATTTCGTTAAGAAGCATAGTGATTCCAAAGATAAATTCACCGCCAACAAGATAATTCAGATGTTGGATTTTTAAATTGATATCTTTGTTGAATTTGGAGGGGAAATATATCAGCTAGTAGTAGGTATCCCCATTGGCACCAACTGTGCACCTTTGCTTGCTGATTTGTTTCTCTGTTCCTACGAAGCCCATTACATACAGGCACTCGTAAAAACAATAAACGATTAGTCAGACATTTTAATTTCACTTATCGATATATCGATGATGTTCTATCACTGAATAATCCCAAATTTAGTGATTATGTAGAATTCATATATCCTGATGAGCTCGAAAATAAAAACACTACTGACAATTGCCATAAACTGGGTGTTAAGTTGTACGATAAATGTGATGATTTTGGCTTTCCGATTGTTAACTTTCCATTTATTAGTAGTAACATTCCAATATCATCAGCTTATGGAGTGTTTGTGTCTCAGCTAATTCGTTACGCGAGAGCTTGTTCCCTTTATTCTGATCGTGGCATGTGTCATCTAAGCTTCAACTACAGGTATACTTGCGCACTAAACTTATAAAAAAACCTTTAAAAAGTCTTATGACCGTCCTATTGACTTGATTGGTAAATATAACATGTCTCTCTCGGCTATTATTCTAGATATATTTAATTGACGCGTATACTATCTCCCTGATTATGTCTACTACATCGTTAACACTGTTCATCACGTGTATTTTGCATACGGATAGTCCATTGGCCAATCACGCTATTTTACCGAGATTTCGTCTAATAGTTTGGATGCAGCTATGGCGGGTGTGGCGCCAGACAGGGCAATCTTACTCTTCCGGACACCTGTTACCACTGTTTGTCGTGTACTTTGTACACGGTGAACAGTCCATTTGCTGAATACACTGTTTTGCCTGTACCGTTTTTTTAGGACTTCGAATTTTGTGTAATGGTTTGGATTGTTCGTACCCATATATGGCCTCGTCTACTCGCGCAGTCTGGCCCGCGCTTCCAGAATGACTTCGAGCTAGAGAGGACTGAGTGTGGGCATGGAGTGCATCTTTTATAGTTAAAGTTGACAACCAATGGTCACAGACAATTAAAATAAATGACATGAAATAGGGTTTAACGTTCTACTGCTCTGTTCCGACTGGGCTAATGAAGGCAGGTATAAGCCATACAGTGGGCTTTGAGGGACATTTTGACCAGACAGCGGCGCTACGCCTACTCTTATATTGAATTCAAATTGCCATGGGTTCTTTTACGTGCACGCCAATGTGTACACGGGTTTTTCGTCCCATCCTCACGACTATACGGTATCTCAAGACATGTAACATCTCGTGTACAAATTGGTATTGATGCAAGCAAAATTCTAATATAAATAAAGAGACTAGTAATTCCTTTGGATATATAGGCAATGCGCAGTCTGGTCCGCACTCGACCTCGCTTTTTCGTCCCATCCGCACGACTATACGTTATCCTTAGAAAGGTAAGATCTCGTGTACAAGAGTCTAGTAATTCTTTTGGATGGATAGGCAATGCATATCTTGGTTTACACAGCTAAACCACAAAAGACAGGAAAATAAATTTAAAAAAATGTATCTTTTTCAGTCAACCCTGGACAAAACTTTCTGATGATTTGAAAGACAAAATCTGTGGAATATTTCCTTGTGACCTGCTACAAGATGATATATTTAAAGGAAGTTACTTCCCCTTATTTGACGTCATCACAACCAGTCTTTGTATGGACGTTGCACCTCCAGATGTAGACACATACGGAAAAATCGCCAAGAAAATATCAAAATATCTTAAAATTGGTGGGCATTTGGTTATCGTTGGTGTATTGGACGCGACTTATTATTTTGTCGGGGATCAGAAATTCTTTTCCTTGGATATAAGCGCAGATGAAGTGAAATCATGCTGGAAAGGTGCTGGGTTTTCAATACAGAGTTGGAACCACATGAAAAGGCCAGAAGAAAGCGAGAAGTCTGATTTTGGTGGCGCTTTTGTTATGCATTGTATTAAGGAATCTTAATCGGTTACCCGTGACCCAAAACCCATCCCAAACTTAGGCTGCCTATCTACAGCTAGCTCCGGCTGAGAATAGGCCCTAAGCTAATTAACCGACATTTTAATTCCTACATCGACGATTTTAGTCGAAAACACTGAGTATGCTTTTAGAAATTTTTAAAAGTATTTATTTCTTTTCTTTGGTCATAATGAATGTAATTAAATATGTTTATTTAGCCACTGTGTGTATGACAGATGTCAAACTAATCAAAGCCTAATCACAAAATAGTCCTCTAATTATTCAATATGGCGGCGCCCATGAAACATAATTTCACAGAGTCGAAAACAAATTTAGGAGTATCTAACCTTGTTTTGAAAGATAAACAGATTGAAACTCTAAGGACAGTTTACAATGGTAAAGAATTTATTGCAATATTACCTATAGCACATATTATATATAGCTTTTACGCGAGTGTCAGCGACATGGCGTGTTTACATAAAACCCCCGTGCTTGGGTTATTTTTACTCTGTTGTCTACTCTGTTGTCTAGTCGATAAGTCCCGCCCCAAAATGATCACGTGAGCGTTTTAAATGGAGGCTAATCAGGGCAGTGTCACATTCTGGGAAGTATGACGTAGATGGGTCGCTGCGTGCAGTATGCCAAAACTCTTCATGGTTCTATTTCCTCATCTAATTAAAGCTAACCCCATTTCAGTATTTTTATTTTAATACATTTTTATTCTTCATGATGGCTAACACAATTCCAAAATTTATTTCAATATATTCTTGATCTTCGATTTATTTGTTTATGGCCATTTGATCTTAAAGGAGCTAAATCGCTAACATTTGGGACCTAGAAATTCACAAAAGTGGGTCGCAACGCATATAATACTGTAATATGAATGTATATAAACTGATTTACATTTAATGGTTTCCGTTTTTACTCCAATTTCAAATCAGTTATGTTCGGCGAAATAAGTCAGCAATCTCAATCGAGTGCAAATTTCTAGCGTCTAGTTTTTCTAGTCTACATAACTCCATTTGATTTGGTGCAATGTGTCTAGCCTCGTCCCTCGAGTCTCTCAATACAACTGGGGCTGAAGCGCATTATGGTACAAATGTTAAAAAAACTATTTTATCTTAAATATCGGATATCAGAACCTCATCTTTTCCCGGTAAGTTTACATCATCAATGTTGATTTAAGTTGACCAATAATTCGTGTTTTCGATGTCGAAGATTTTAGAGGATTTTGGGTTACGGACTTAGGTCCTTTAATCAGTAATGTAGTTCATTATCTCCCTTTATTTTAAAACGGCTAAACCTCTGACTCGAATATTATCTCCCTTTATTTCATTTTATAATTATCAAATGATCTTAATCAGCAAACCAGTTATGGATGCAGACCACCATTAAATTTTACCATCTCGGTACAAATTGTAGTTCGCCTATTTATAGCAATTCTCTCTGTGTCCCTTTTCTCCCCTTCTGCATGCCCATTTTTGTTGATTTTTTGGTCAAGAATGGACGAAGAGGGTTTGAATTAACATTTTCTGCCAGGTTTTGGTAAATATTCATGATTTTGAGGCGGACGGATAACGGAGTTATCAGGTTGGCTACGGTGATATGTACGGCAACTAGTTACATGTTTTGACTATGCTTCTTCAAGTTTGTGTATCTCAAAATTTTGGTGATCAACCTCATACAAATTTTAGTGCAAAGACATGACCATTTGTTCCTCTGTCTGTAGTGAAAAGCATTCAGCCCAACGAAAATTTGGGGAAAAGTTTGAGGTGGGCAAAGAGGCCAGAATTAACAGTGAAGTCAATGGGGAAATTAATGGTGGTTTGCCCCCTTATACGTGTAGTAGCTGTATATTATCTCCCTTTATTTTCAAACAGCTAAACCTCTAACTCGGATGGGACGAAAACCCGAGGTGTGCATGTGACAGAACCATTGACATTTGGACATTGAAATAAGATTAGGCCCTGGTGGTGCTGTCTGTGCAAAATATTACTCATGCCACCACTGTATGACGTTTGCCAGTCTTCATTATATTAGCCCGGGAGAGAGGAGAGAGACGCATTATGATACAACGCGCATGCGCTAACTTTTTGGCCATCTAACCTCCTCAGTTTTCTATACAATGATTCGGTTATTAGCGGCAGTAATGCACTATATTTTGGAACCTAAAATGGGTCTAAAATCAAATATTATTGTAATTTTAATGTACCAAATTTTAATTTCTAATCAATTATTTTCGGTGAAATACGTCAACAGTACAAACTGAACGACAGTCCATTCTACACGTTTTATTATTCGTATTTTGTCGTTTGTGAATCAACAGTTACTTTTTACTTCCGCATTGTCTTGTAGGATATGAATTTATTTCTTCATTACAAGTAGCGCTCAAAACCTTAGATTACATAACTCGTGTAGTGATTATAAAATGTTCATTGTGTCTTAAATATTGGATATTAGGATCACGGTAATTGATTGAAATGAACAAATATTGAATATTAATTCTTATTTTTAGTTTCGAATATTATGGAATATATCGAGGTTTAAATCCTTTAAAATGTGGGGCGGGGTGTCTAGTAGTTTAACGCTTGCGCGTGAAATCACAAGGTCTGTCATTTAGTCACGTGGCGTGGTTTCGATTCCCCGCTTTAACGTGACATTGAGTAGGGTCGCGTGTCCAACCTCGTTAGTTTTCTCCGGGTTCTCCGGTTTCCTCCCACTGCTAAAGACCCCTACGCGTAAACGAATTATTGAAATTGAACGATATGTTAGTCTCGAAATGACCTAGTTAGTGTCGAGAGGACGTTAAACTACCCCCCCCCCCCCTCTCTGTAGTATAAGTGGTTTTAAAGATCACCAGTGTTGATCAACTTAATCTTAAATATTTATTAAAGCTGAACTCCGATTTCAAAACTACAGAAAAAATTAAATAAAAAAAAAATTAACGCCCTAAATAATCGCCATACTTGATTTCAAGTTGTAGAACAATCATGGCTGTTGTACGGCGGGTACAAAAACAGAGGCAGGCCACGCCCACATCCAGTTCATGCCTTGTCAACCACACTGTCCACATCCGGCTAGCAATATTTCAGCTGACTGATTGACGTTTTTCACTATCAGTTTACTGAAAATATTATTGCTACACAATTATTATGTCTGATCAGGTACATATTATTTTACTAATTAGACGAAATAATAAGCCACGGTGTACTTTTGCTCTAAAACTATGACAAAAACTGCCTTACCCCAAAACTATAACAAATCTACCAACACCAAATAATTTCTCGTATTATAAAGTCTAGTATTATCGTTCTAAAATATATCCAAAGCAGGAATAAAACTGTTGTTCTCTTCAACAAAGAAGTATGTTTTCACTTCAAAATATTCACCATCTTGTGAAGTAGTTAAGTCCCTTGATGTTATGTCAACAACATAGAATTGGTTGGTGTTCGTAGATTTGTTGTTATTTGGGGTAAGGCAGTTGTTTCTTATTTTTAGAGCAAAAGTACGCAGTGGTTCACTTATTTCGTCTAATTAGTAAAATAATATGTACCCGATCAGATATAATAATACTTTCAGTAAACTGTTAGTGAAAAAACGTCAATCAGTCAGGAGGAAATTGGTAGTTGAAATATTGCTAGCCGGATGTGGACAGTGTGGTTGACAAGGCCTGAACTGGATGTGTGCGTGGCCTGACTCTGTTTTAGTACGCCGTACAATCCACATGATTGTTCTATAACTTGAAAACAAGTATGGCAATTATTTAAGATGTTAATTTTTTTTATTTGATTATTTCTGTAGTTTTGTAATCGGAGTTCAGCTTCAAGGATGACCCTGGCAAGGACACCTGCCTAGTCGTTCGGATGGGACGAAGAGCCAAGGTCCCGTGTACACATTGGCGTGTACGAAAGATCCCTTGACAGTTGGAATTCGATATAAGAGTAGGCCGTAGCGCGGCTGTCCGGGCACAATTTCCCGTCTTTATTAGCCCAGTCGGATGAGAACAGTAGGACGTTAAGCCCATAGGCGTACGGGGAAATTTTTGATTGGGGGGGGGGGGGGGCGGTGGTGGTTGGTGCCCAAAAAATGTAGTTGTTTTATGTAACTGTAACTCGTGGCTTACTGTACTCCAAACAATAGAGGGTTCGAGTCTTAAGTTTCTATTTAATTGCCTAACTATAGACACTGTGAATTTAAATTCGCTGTTAAATTGGACACTTTCAAGAACAGAATATTTATTTATACAACTTTTACAAAGTACAATTGTGTGCCCAAAATTTCCCCCCCCCCTCCAGCTCGTACGCCTATGGTTAAGCCCCATTTAATTTCAGTTAGCGAAAGTTATGTGTCTGGACAAGGATGAAATAATCTTATGTTTTATGAATTATTACCTCATTGTAATCGTTCATGTCAAACCGAACTTCCCGGAGAACATTCCAATCATGTCTCTATCCAATCTGATTAAAACACAGATCCTATTTCGTTTCGTTTTTATTGTTCAAAATTTCGTTTTACTTGTCGTTAGAGATGTTATCATTGACGTTTTCTGAATGATGTGAGGGATTAGTCAATGAACAGTCTGTTACGGCGAGCTTTAGGCTTGTTTTACACGGAACTGTGGGTAATCCACTAGTAACATCAATGCTGATTGGTTAATCAAATGTCTGGCGTCATAGGGTCAAAATCCTAAGGGAAGTAACTAGTCCTAAAACAAGATATTGACGCCCATGAAATTAATTTAGGAATGCCATTTCACAAAGTCCATTTCATTGCATTGCCAGTTCAATATCCAGCACTCTTAATGTTTTTTTATTGTAAAATTTCTCTCTTCATGAGCCATATCTAATAAAAAAAATAATATGTTTTTTAAATTATTCCAAATTCGTCGTCACGATTCATGTTTGTATATATTAATGCAAGAATTTTGGGATTTATTGCGGGAAGGGGCGAGAAAGGATACATGAGTTAAGAGGTTGGTTAGGATAAAATGTAGGGCGGAAAATCGCATGTTTATTTGTGTATCTCAAGTCTATCATGTTGAAACGCATACGTGCTTTTGGACAAGAGGTTGCCACATATTGCTCCATCTGTGATAGAAAGCGATCTACCTAACGAAAATTTGGGAAATAGTTAGAGCCGGTTTAAGAGACGAGAATTAACATTAAAGTTAATGGGGAAACCATTGGTGATCTGTGACCATACTGGATAATCAACCACATTAAAAACCAAACTTCCGGTTACGCATGGGCAATGGACTTGACAACGGATCCAGACCCTCGTACGTTGAAGACTATGAGGTTCTGGGTGACCGAGACTATTTCCAATCGGGCAACTAAACTTATTTTTATATTTTGTTTAATTTATTTAGTATTGTTTTATGTTCATCATGACACGTGATTAACAAACCAATATAAAAACATGTCAATGCACATTGACGATGCTTAAGCATACATTAGAAAATCACGATGAACTTTCTCAACCAATGCCGGGATCGTACACGCGATCTCCAGGCTAGTGAGCCAGCGTCTTACCCACTTAGCCACTTCAATAGATCATAAGATCTGTCATTGAATCAAGTGAGTTGGTTTCGTTTCCCCGCTTGAACGTGACGTGACAATGAGTAAGGGTGCCTGTCCAACCTCGTGGGTTTTCTCCAGCTCCTCCGCCCCGACGCGCAAACGAATTAATAAAATAAAACTAAACCATATGTTAGTCCCGAAATTAATTACTGATATCAGATTCACTACCAACATGCTTAATCTGATCAGAACACCGATCATGTTTCGTTTCGTTTAATTATAGTTCAAAATTTCGTTTTACTTGTCTTCACTACGCTAAGATATGGAAGTGTTGGTCAAGGACAATATTGGTGTCAGCCATTATTACATATGAGATAGAACTGGTTCTCAACATATAAAATGTTAACGCAGAGATCAATGCTACGGTGAATGCATATGTCTTTCAACATAATATTTGCGTCAATATGTCTCCGGCCACTTGGGTCGGCGTTTGAGACAACAAAGAAATCTTCGATCTTAGA